GTTAGTTTGTAGCTGCCAATATCATATGTAAATTGAGTAGCCTCATTCCTTGCATTGATTTCTCTTAATCATAAAAAAAGGAAATCTGTTTGAAAGACTTTAAAATAGTTTTCTTTGCCTGCTGGTTAAATAAAGTTTATGGTTAACGATGAATTGTGAAACGAAATCTTTCTTTTTACATTAAATAATTTTGGTATAATTCACAGAGACGTTGGATACGTTCTTTAATGATCGACATGCAATCAATAATTTTTTAATCACTCGTCAACTTTTTAGCTATATATTTTGACACCTGATATGTGATCTCAATACATAAATCAGAAAATTATTTAGATCGTTTATTGAGTATAAGCAAATAGATACATGTAATTTTGAACAATTTTACTTGTTAGTCATATTAACAAAGAATTATTTTCAGGGGCGTAGCCTGCTTTAAATGATGAGGGGCTGAATTTCGTAAAGGGTTGCGAATTATAATTTCTCCCAAATTTTAATTAAAAAACCCTTTTGTGTCTGGGCAAAGTTTCCTGCTGTCTCCCCCCCCTGCATACGCCTTTGGTTGCTTTACTAAATACATGCAACAACATGCAAAAAACCATCGTAAAAGCTGCACTATAAAATGACGAGTCAGTTTTTAGCAGCAGAGCAGCAACAACAACAACTGGACTTTCACATAAAGTATCAACAAACAGTCAAAACAGTCAACACAGAAAAGCTGGCTGCTGACTTCTGGCTACTGACTGCTGTCTATTGCCTGCTGATTCCTCCAGGGCTCCGTCATCGTCCTGAGTCCTGGTCGTGCACCTCGACTCTCTCAGTAATGGCCTGCGCCAGGTCACAAAAGCCGTGCAAACATGCCGAGCACACACACACACACACACACATAAAAAGCCAAATGGGCGGTTAGCCTTCGAGTATGAATGCAGAGCAGTCACAGGACAGACCACAGTTGCACATGAAGGCTGAATTGGTGTAGGGAAAGCAATGAGTAAATTGCAAACACAAATGCAAAACTTGAAAATTGCTGCAAAATGTGCAAAAATAAAATATGAAAAGTGCAAATGTGATAGGTAGAGAAAGAGAGAGAGAGAGAGAGAGACAGTAGGAAACTTGAGTATGTTTTATAGAAAGTGGCCTTTTCGCCAGGATTATTTGCTTATCCTTTAGTTTAGTCGCAGTGTGGAGTTTCTTTTTGTTCCTAACTTCATTTAATTTAAATTCATGTTTTCATTGTATTAAAAACTAAGATACTCAAAGTTATGGATTTATTTGTACACCTTTTCAGAGGATATTATCATTTGGTGTATGTTTCGATTGGACTTATAAATTACTAATTAAATTCAGACGTGATCAGGCCCGTATTCGGTTTGCAAGGGTACTTGAACAAAATTCATATTAGTTATTTGTTGGAATTCTTACATATTATAATCGAGTTCTTATAAGTGTGTTAATGTTTTATGTTTAATACATCCGATTAAAATGCACAAATTGCGTTTATTTAACTGGGGTTCCAGTTCAATTTGCCTAATGTATCCAGTGTAAAGGCCAACTCCAGTCGCTTCGTCTGTTTGCCAATGTACTTCGCCAACGTTTAAGTAATAATGCATCGAAATGGAGTTGGTAACACAGGCTGACAGACAGCCAAGCCTGGTTGCCCTTGTCCCGCCAGCTAGACAGCCATTCTGTCTATTTCCTGGCCTTTCTGTCACCGTGAAGAGTTGTGCTTTTGGGTGTAGAACAAGCTGCTCAACTAACTGCAGCGGCATTACAGCTTTGACGAAGGATTCGAGGAAGCGCAACGCGCTTCTTCGCTGCCTTTTCGACGTGGACGTGGACGTCGACGTGGACGGGAAACTCCAAGAGCAAACAAAATGAAGAAATTCACATTGCCGCTGTGCGATATCATCAAATGAATATAAGATTATATTTACCAAGGCGGGTAGAAAGTGAGCGAGCACATTTTTTATGTGGATACGGAGCTGATGCTGAAAAACTTGCTCGGAGGAGGAGGAGGAGGTGTAGGCGGTGGCGGTGGCGATGGCGATAGCGATGACGGAGGTGGTGGACGTGGCCGCCATTGCCGTTATGCTCACAGGGCATCGGGTGGAGAGGTGAGTGGTGAGAGATGTGCAAACAAAGACACTGATAAAACGAAATGCCAAACGGCAATTGAAATGCATAACAAAGACATTGCACACTGGAGGATCGGATGGAGGAGGAGACGCAGATGCAGACGCAGACGTCGACGTCGACGAAGACGGGAATGGGCATGGGCATGGGCATGGTCTCCGGCTGAGGCAGAGGCTGAGGCTGAGGCTCAGGGCACTGGCACGTTTGGACAAGTGAAGGAGGCGACGTCAACTCTTTTGAGTGGGCGACCAGAGGCGCTGCCATTTCGGTGTCTGGCTGCGCATCTTGCTTGAATGCTTGGCTGAATGTGCTAGGGGGCGAAAGGGAGCTCAAATCAAGTGTGAACAGAATACGGCCAAGTTTTTTGGTTGCCACTTTTGCGTGGGCACCCGCTTGACAAGGGCCACGCCACGACGCAACCCCCTGTCGCGGCGGATACGTTTCGTTTCCTCGGGCAACACTCGGTCACTCTCCGCCACTCGCCCGTAAGGAGACAGCCAGTCTCTTCTCTATTTAGCCATCTCTTTCTCGCTCTAGCTCTCCCTATCTCTCTCGCACTCACTCACTCGCTTGCACTCCTGCGCATCGTGTATATAAATATTTTAGGGGCGGGCTCAACGCTAGCTGCTCTCAGTAGTAATACTCGTATAATATTCCAATTCGACATTTTGTGTGTGAAATTCATAAAGCGGTTGACGTCGCTGCCGACGTCGCTGCCAATGCCGCTGTCGCTGCCGGCAACAGTAACGTCAAACGTTGTTGTCCCATCCAATCTGAACTTCATTATGATGTTGCCGTAATCCTTTTGCCTGCTATACGTCCTGGCCACATCATCGTGCTATCTCTTTCGCATGCGCGCACACACACCAAATGGCAGTCCACCAAATAGTCTATGTGTGTATATTAGGGGTGGTTTTCCGCACCCCTTTGTGAAGCGACGACGAGTTTGCTCAGTTCAGTTAACAGGCCCAGTCAGACTCAGTGAGTCCTGCAACGACAACAGTCCTTTTCACAATTCTTAAGGCCACACTGTGTCGTGTTTGCTTTCATTCCGCTTCGGTCGCTGAGTCTGTGCGGAACGTCGTTGCCACAAAAATATAGATACGGATATCTCTGCAGCAAATACATACGTGCATCGTCATATGTGAAATCACTCTCGGTACTCAGTACTCGGTGCAAAGTTTAAACAAGTTTTTAAGTGAACTGAGCAACTGAAAAACAGAACGAAATCTTTGGTTTATTTGTGCACTTGTTTTGAGTTAATTGTGAAGAATTACAACTTGTTCCGTGCGAAGCAGAGCCAACAAATTGGATACTTCTAGGCAGTGCCTAAATATGGTTTACTTTGTACGTATCTTAACAGTATTTGTTTTGTGATTAAGTATTTATAAGAATTTATGTGTGACGAAATAGTTTTCTTAAAACTCTTCAAAATCTTGTGACAACTTTTGCAAACTCGCTTTTATTATTATCTCTTTTGCAATGCAAATTTTCCTCAAATGTATATTTATCTATTAAGTGTAGAGATGGGCTTCATTTTATTTTTCAATTTTGTATTTATTTACTGAATAGAATTAAACGACTGAATATTAAAAGCTAAAATTAAGTAAGCTACTATTTTTTTAAAACATATTATGATTGTCCGTTGTAGCATAAATTGCTTACTCATATGGAAAGAGATTGTTGAAGTGACTTTCTGCTTGAACCTACAAGTGGCCAATGGAAGACTTTTATTATTTGAATATACCCCAACTTAGCATGCAACTTATATGTGTAATAAACCAAGTGTCAAGATCCAATTGAACGCAGATCAGGGTTAAAATTAGTCCGCCCTCATAAGGCGAAACTTAATAGAATTAAAAGCACTTGGAATGAGGCAAGCGAGAAAACTATTCCCAGCTCCGCAGCCATTGAGCAGCTACTTACTGAGGCGTCAAATCAAGTTAATTAAAAACGGCAGACGCATGCATCGTCGCCTGGTAAACAGTGGTTATAAACCCACAGCCAGTGGCAAAATTAAAGACCAACCTCAAACGCAAACCAGCCGACGAAAACGGATGTCGTCCATTATTAACACTTGAGGAAGCAAGCATAGAGATGTTGATGGCAACCGGGTAGAATCCGAGTCGGAGATGGTAGACTTTACACTTGCAGCCAAGTGTAAACAATTTGATGAGGTGCAAATAAAAGCAGTGCAAGACCCGCGCTAAAAATATGTTCGACTTTAGAATGCTTGTCATGTGTTATGATTGATTTAAACTGCAATGATTTTTGGCAATATGCTGTGAAAGAGTTGGCCTGGTGCCTGGTGACTTGGCCTCGTCCTCGGTCCATTGTTCGGGGTTAGTCGAGCGTGGGACAGGCAACGCACGGGTTAAGAATCAAAACCGCAAACGCAATCAATAAGCGAATTTATATTTTATTTATTTCTTTGGTTGTGTTTTACATAATTTTTACATGAGCTGTGGTTTTGTTTTAATTGCAACCCGCTGACTGGGCAGCCACAAAGCGAGTGCAGAGTGCAGAGTCCAGAGTGCAGTGTGTAGTTGAGTGCTGAGTGTTGTGTCCTCCCGTTGAGCTCTGCCAAATATACATATTGAGAAAAGTATATATTTGAATTGGGAATGGGAATGGGAGTGGGAATTTAAGTCATGGCACGCCCCTGCGACAATTGCTGCGTTTGTTTGTATACCAGTCGATTAGTTCTACCTGAGTGGATCGGCTTAGAAGGCGGCTGCCAACAATGGGGCGTATGCTGAATATTAATTGATAACCCGTTGCTTATTTGCATACACACCAACGAGCTGCTGTGACTAACCTTTGTTTCCGTCTTCTTTCTTTCTTTTTTTTATTTTATTTTCTTTCTGCAGAGTCCGCGTGGCATGCAACCGTGTAGTCCATCGGGAGTTGTCGCTATGATGCCGCCATCGAAGAGTCCCATCATGGAAACCGCCGCCAGTGATAGCAATCAAACCAACAGCAATCAAACGAATACAGCAAGCAGCGATGCCAAGCGCTCCTGTCCCTTGAAGTTCTCCATTGCCAAGATCATGGAGCCGGACAATAAACCGCCAACTATATCCACCCAACAGCAGCAGCAGCAGCAGCAGCAGCAACAGCAGCAGCAACAACTGCAGGAGGATGATCAACCCAATCCGGATATGTATGCCGATTCCGAGCGCTCTTGCAGTCCGATTGAGGTCACAGGCGATGACGATGAGGAACCAGCTGCAATGGCTGCCATCAACTACGATTCGGCTTTCAAGAAATATGTGCCCGGCTCCAGCTCCAGCTCCAGCTCAGCCACAATGTCAGCCACAGCAGCTTCGGCTTCAGCTTCGGCCGTGCAACAGTTTGTCAGCACACGGCACCAGGAGTTGCTATCGCAGTACCCGCTGCTCTACTACGCACCCAATCAGCTGATGTGTGCCGCTGCTGCTGCCCAGTATGCCGCATTGACTGCCCAGCAGCAGACGCTGGCGAGTGCTGCGCACATTAGCAGCTTCACTGCCTCCCTCAATGCCACCCTGCATCATTCACAGTCGCTGCGTCGCAATTTGGGACATCCGTTGGCCGCCGCAGCCGCTGCTGCCGCAGTTGCTCAATCGCAGTCGCAGCAACAGCCAGCAGCAGCCCAACTACCACAACAGAGTCTTGAGAAGTCTCCGATTCGTACGCCACATGCCCCGCAACATGCTAGCCTCAAGCGCAAGCGTTCGCCACAAGCTGATCTTACCACGCCGCCGTTGAGCCTGCCGCTAGCTTTGCCATTGCCACCACCAGTTGCAATGCCACCGCGCTCTCGTTCGCCATCGCCGCACGGCTCGCTGGAGGACAACAGCAGCCCGGGCTCGGCCAATGGCGGCAAGCCGAAGACCTTCTCGTGCTTGGAGTGCGGCAAGGTGTTCAATGCCCATTACAATCTAACGCGCCACATGCCGGTGCATACGGGTGCCCGTCCGTTTGTGTGCAAGGTGTGCGGCAAGGGTTTCAGGCAGGCATCGACGTTGTGCCGCCACAAGATCATACACACCTCGGAGAAGCCGCACAAGTGCCAGACCTGTGGCAAGGCCTTCAATCGCAGCTCGACGCTCAACACCCACGCCCGCATCCATGCCGGCTACAAGCCGTTCGTCTGCGAATATTGTGGCAAGGGCTTCCACCAGAAGGGCAACTACAAGAACCACAAGCTGACGCATAGTGGCGAGAAGGCATACAAGTGCAGCATCTGCAACAAGGCCTTCCATCAGATCTACAATCTCACCTTCCACATGCACACGCACAACGACAAAAAGCCCTACACTTGCCGGGTGTGCGCCAAGGGCTTCTGTCGCAACTTCGACCTGAAGAAGCACATGAGGAAGCTGCACGAGATTGGCGGCGATTGCCTCGACGATGATTTGCCGCCGGCGTACGAGCGCCGACGGGCCTACACCCGACGGGAACCACTCTCCAACTACAGTCAGACCAGCCAGTTGACGCCGGACTCCTCGTCGGGCAGTATGTCGCCGCCGATTAATGTGACCACCCCACCACTGTCCAGCGGCGAGGGCAGCAATCCGGCCTGGACGCGCACATCCTATCAGGAGACAACTACCGCAGCACCGCCACCCACTAATTTTCATCATCATCTGCAACATTTGCATGCGCCGCCAGCCGGGTTGCATGCTGAATATGCGGCCAGTTCCCCGTTCCTTCAACTAGCTCATCCCGCACAACAGCAGCATCAACATCAACAACAACAGCAGCAGCAACAGCATCAGCATCAGCAGCAACATCATCAGCAGCAGCAGCAACGCTTGACAGCAGCTGCTCTGGAGAATGTGCCGTTCATAGCCAAGGTATTTTGACAGAGATACTATGCGGAAAATCTGGCCAGTTGTACGGCAACAGCAGCTTCTGCCGCTTCAGCGGCTGCCGTCGCCTCGAAATCAGTGTCGACAAAGAGCTCAACGAGTTTGAGTAGCGCTGATCTGTTGATCGATTGACTGCAGTTTGTTTCGACTGCTGCAACAATGCCGCAGGAAGCTACAAACACTTCAGTCACGCAAGAACTTGAGGCTGCCTCAATGGAGCTCAGTTGCACTACCCTCGGTAGTGCTGTGCGTGCCCTGAATGGACTCTTCTAGGATGCAGCCGGAGTAGAGCGACTTACTTGTCTACTTGTCAACCAGCAACCCACCAAATGGTTTCAACAATAACCTGTGCAATATATCTATATATATACATACATGAATATTCAGTACCAATCCAACTTAGCAGTAGGGATATCCCCGATTCGAGCGATCTATGTTTGCAGCACCCAGGCTACGAAAATATACTTAGTATGTGTGATTTTTTGAGCGAATTTATGTCAATTTTATTTATACAAGTGTAAATATTAACACATATATATATATATATATATATATTTAATTGTTTGATGACTAAATGTTAGACCTATAAGATGCACATTATATCAATCTCTTAGGTGTATCTGTATTACAGCTAGCTAGTACCAAATGTGTATCCTAGATTCGCCCTATACAGATTCGCTAGGTGCGCATATAGAAAATTTAACCAGCATTGCGAATTGTGAATGTGTCAGTTGGATTTGTTTGATTGACAAATAAAACACCACAGATATATATATAAACAGATACATATATCGAACAACATACTAAGTATATGTATTTTAATGTGTTTCTGGATTGGTTAAAATGGCATCAGATTTTATCAAACTCATTAAAATTGTTTAGTATCTAAGTGATATTATTGATAATGTTTAAGCAATAAATCAATTCTTCAATATAACTAAAATTGTACAAATTGTTTTATTGCTCCAATTGTTTATACAGCTTTAAAATAAGCACTGTGATTTCGGGCCACACTTAAAATTTCCCGGAGTATGATCGCAGCCCGAAAAGGAATTAGGAATTCTTCTTGAACGATGGGCTTCTACTGAATTATGTGAATATCTCTTATAGAAAGGAAGGTAAAAAAAAGCAGATGGTAACTCTCACAACAAAATTTAAAATAAATGAAGTTCAATAAAAATCAATACAGAATGACAATATCTAAATTATATATTTATCGGCATAAGCCGCAAATATTAATTTGTATACGATTTGATATTTAATTTGAACAGCTCCTTTTTAAGCCTCCTTTCAAAATTGATTGTAGCATTTTAGTAGAATAGGATTCTTCTATCAGGTATTACCCAATATTAGCCGGACAAGAAGAAGTTAAAGAGACAATTCATGGCTCAAACAGCTTTCTTTAACCTCTCAGACTTGCTCTCATTTCTAAAGGCACTGCTAGGCTCCGACTGAGATTATGCCAACCAGGACGAGGACCAGGCTGTGTCTCCAATTTTAAAATGCAAATGAAATGCGTCGCTTTTTAATGAAAACAATTATTGTGGCATTTGCGTAAGAGGCTCTTTAATGGGCTCTAAACTGTCAGCTGGCAAATCGGTAGTCTGAAGCAGTCCACGCAGCGTATTCACAACTTAATTATTGGCGAGCTGGTTGCCCACTCAAATGGTGCTCCAACGCAGCACACGCCACGCCCATTTGCATTTTCCTTTGATCTGTGGGGCAAGAATGAAAATGGCGACGTTGTCTGAGACTAAGAGTTACACTGAGACTCGACCTCTTGAGGCTGCTCATAAAAAACGCAGCAGAAGTGTGTACAGAGTGCGGCATCCACACCTGTTCTACTTTCACTAAAGGCAGATGAATGCCCGACATGGGATTCACCTACCAAAATATGTAAGAATGCCTAACAAATAGCTCAGCTTAGATAGAAAGAAATAGGATAATGTAATTTTAATTAAAGTTTTAGAAGACTTCTTTACATCTTTCAGGAATAATAAAATTCTTATTAAGTATTGTTTGAGTGCTGGTAAAATATGAATATGATTCCATTCTTAGCTCCGCAGATTAAGTCAAATAATATTTGATTAATTCGAGATGCTTGTTAAACTACATTTGTGCAGCCCTATTTAACAGGGTATAAATAGAGAAGTATGCGCATGTGTTGCCACTTCAGTTGACACATCACTCCACAAGCTCCCCTGCATGCAACGGCTGCTGCATATGAATAATTCAAACGAAATCAAATCAAATGGGAGCGAAAAGCGAAATCAAAAGGCATTACTTTATGCAAATGCAAATATGGATGCGAATACGATTCCAAATATGATTCCGTTCCGATTTCCAATGCGAATGCTCTCTACCTGCGTGCATATGTCTAAGTACACCGCCCACTGTCAATCCACACTGCTCATCCCTCACTCCTCGCCAACGCACTTGGCTAACAGTTTTGTATACAAATGAGATCAACCCACTGAATGGCACGCATGACAAATGGCGTAAAGCTTGTGCCAAAATAATAAAAAACGAATTGAGATGACTTTTGACACCGCCTCGCGGCATTCTTTTGAATCTAGTTGGTTGAGATGATTTGTATCACCGGCATCAGCATCAGCATCAGGCTTGATGAGTCGAAGGCCAACCCCCAATTTTGACGTCAATGGTCCTTCACTTGTTGTCATGTTGTCCGCGCGCTGATTTGATTCCTTTTGATGTTTGCTTTATGCACGCCCAAACGACAATTTGAGTGGCCTTTCGCCACAGGTTCATTTCATCTACTGCAACCATCCGTTAGCCATTAGACATCCGCAATCACATTGACACAATGTGCCGCCTTATTTGGCTAATTGAAGTCTCGGCTTTTAGCTCACTGGCTGCCCACCAGCCCACCAGTCCACCAGCCCATCTACCCCCAACTGTGCAGATCTTATGCAGATAATTCTCCACTTTCCGATGCGCCTAAGCATGATATCCTTGGCACTTCCTTGGCCCAAAATGACTGGTTACCCTGCCAGTCGATGGCATTAATTAAGCTAATTAATTGATATGTGGTAGCTGTCAATTTTCTGTTGGCATTCCCAAAAAAGGGAAATTGTTTGTTTAACTAGGTAATTTCTTGATATGCTTTTGTTCAAATTGTTAGAAGTGGTATTATGAAGATATGTGAGGGTAGCGATCATAAAGCCAATGCTTTTCTGCCTCCATAGAGCCAATTTTGATCAGAGACAATGCAAGTAATAATAAATAAATATAATAAATGAGAAGCCAAGTCTTCTTTTATAGTAGCTGCCAATGTTTTACTCTCTTTCAGATGACTGATCGGAAATTTAATTTAATTTAATTTAATTAAGTCGCTTTATTGTGCAGTTGCAATAGGTCAACAGAAAAATCAAGTTAAAACCAAAAAGAGTCATCTGAATCTACAGAATAGTATTGAAAACATAGAAACATTTATTATAATATAGATTTATAGATTTTCAAACATAATTAAAATATTAACGATGCAAAGTTATCTATTTTCAAGTAGAATTAAAATATTATCGATGCAAATTTATCTATGCTTCTCGACTATTTGTAATTCCTAAAATGTAATTATAATCACAATCTCAGCAAGTTATTGGTATAATTACAAGGTTGGATGAGGTAATTATGAATCCATTGAAAATATAATTGCATCTCATACTTCATGTTTCGCACTTCATATTTATTGTCAGCGCAAGGCTTGTTTATGTCCCCCAAATTGTTTACACCGCATAAACAATTCCAAAGGCGCCATTGCTGCAAATTTGCTCCAAATGTCTAGCGTTTTGTGCATATTAATAATTTTTATCGGGGCACAATCTGCACCACGCCTGCCATGATAAAAAGCGAAACAAGACGAAAAAACGAATGGAAATTGTATCAAAACAACTCGAACACGAAACAATGGAGACAACAACATGTCTCTCGTTCAGCGGCGGTTAAGCACTTTGCCATCGAGAATTAAAAAAAAAAAAACGATGAAATATATATCTATATATATATATGTATAATCCAATTCCATTGTTTAACATGAACCGCAACGGGAAAAAGCAGAATGATGAAAAATTGCATAGCGCTGTTAATGTCGACTGCGCTTATCACCTACAACAATGAGAGCAGAGAGTCCTCCTGCAAGGACAATAAAGTGAGGTCGAAGGGGGGCCCCAGCTCAACCCCTCAAGAGTGCGGCGCATTCGAGCGTAAATTGCAGCATAATCTCTTCCGGATATGATTACGTTCTTAAGTGATCTGAGTCAGACAGCTGGACAGGACAGGAGGAGCATTGTTGCCTCGCTGCTGTCAGCTTTCTCTCTCTATCTCTCTCTCTTTCTCTCTCTCTTTAGCTCACTCTCGCTCTTTCTCTGTCTGCCACGCGCATCTTGGCTAAATGCTGTGACCTATCAGCTTTGTATCTTTATCGCTTCGGCGAGTGCACGAGTACATCATACTTGTATTGTGCAATATGTTGTGATTACAATTTTTTAAAAAGCTAAAGCTGCATTTTCTTTTGAATTACAAGGGGTGTTGCGTCTTGCAACTGGCTGGGGGAGCTGGGGACGCAAAACTCACGCGCTATGATTATGGGCATGGAAAAAAGTAAGTGTATCATTTGCTGCGCCAACAATGTGCTGGCAAAAACACTTAACGCTGCACGGGCGTGGTTCGGCGTTGTCAACAACATGTTGGCATTGTTGGTAATTGTGCCGTTAATTGTCGAGGTGACACTATCCCACACCTATGACACACCATCCCCTCTCCCCCCATATCTACTGAATGTGAGGGTGTGACAGCTCGACGATGTAGAGCAGACAGTAAAGTATTCGGAACATGTTACTTCCAGCTATAAGTTATAAGTGACAAAGTCCTTGTTTGGTGGCGCGCAGGACTCAAAAGCGTCCCTTAATCCAGCATGCCTGTAGCAACTGGGGTTGCAGTTTGATTGTATCACTGCCAAAGCCCAAAAAAAGTGTGAATTTATCAATATGCTTCAAATAATATGATATCTGCTAACTCCTAACCATTATTAGGTTATCCCTGATCACCTAACCCTTACAATGTTATCCTTGATGTCAAATCACTTCTTGTTTAGGTAATCAAATCATTTATTTTTATTCCATTAACGTTATTACAGATCTAAAACATTGGGATAATTGTATCTCGATTCTTAACGACTACATTATAACATAAATAAAAATAAACATAACTTAAATTGACTGCCTTAAAATAAAATATAAATTTAGATCGATTTTTATTTACTTTTTAGTCTTTTATAGTTAATAATTGTACAGAATATTTAATAAAAAACACAATTTTTGACTGTTCGAATTTGATGAGGAAAAATAGTTTTCCAATTAGGATCAGTGTGAACAATAACTGCAAGAATATATAAATAAAAATATATGAAAATATATAATTGAAGTGGTCTCAAATGCTTTCTTCACACTATTTCACATACTCCAATATATGCAAAACTTTATTATAATTGGAACAAAGTTATAGTCCTTATAAAATAAATAAAAGCTTGAAGACAGTTTTAATTTGAATGGTCTGCGTTGTGTGTGTTTTTGTTTGTTAACTAATTAATAAAATAATGAACCTGTGAAACGGCATCAGCACACATTTGCACTCAAAGCGTCATGAATGCGATACTTCACCTAAAACTAGAGGTGGATACTTAAAGACCAGACCAGAGCAGGCCATACATATATAATATGTACTTATCTAGAACATATTCATAACTCGTCAGGCAGCACAAATGGGCAGCAAGGCGAGTGACTGACTGACTGACTGTTTTGTATGACTGGGCGTGTCCTTTTATGAGTCCTGGGTGTGAAAAAGCGTATAAGAAGTTGACATAAAGCTGACTGACAACGATTGCGTTGGGCGACAATGGCGACGGTGCTGGATGGTATCCCGGATCGCTGGAAATCTGCATTGGAAGCTGCTGAACCGAACTAATTGAGCCGCGTTACATTAAGTTGAATGCATTTCAATGTGTTGCCAAGCATCAATGGAACATCATCACACTTACACACACAAACACACATATATATTTATATATATACATATATATTCATTGCCATAACTTGTGTCTTGTCTGGGAAATGGAACAACTGCCTCTACCCCTGCCTCTTCATTCCCCAGCCACACTTGGTCGCTGCTGAAAGAATACTTGCCAACTGCACACAGATACCAACTGAGAATGCCTTGGACGACTATGGTGTATGTGCAGTAACCAGCTCTAACTAACCGTAGTTGAGAAATACTACATACATGATATATGCATATATATGAGAATGCTTGTATTCGTATGAATAACTTTTGTATATAAGTTTTAATTAAAATATATTAGTTAAAGATACAACGAATATCCGCTGAAATAAGATGTTGCAGTGCTCTAGTGCAAATTACTCCATCGTCCTCTGAGATATATATTCTTGATCATGTCCAGTATCTGACTAATGATTCTATGCAGACGAGTCGTTTTGGCTTTTGCCAGGTTGTTTCTAGTATAATTATGAATATAATTAATTCAATTATCACATACAATTGCTCAACTATTGTTTAATAGAATTTATGTGCAGTTTATGTACATATTTACAAGTTGTTTATTCTTTTTAAACAAAGAAAAGAGCTAAAGTGGACGAAGGTCAGCTCAGTTTTTGCAGTTACTGAGAAAACAAGGATTTTAACATTTTCCTCCACGAGTACAATTTTTACCCCAATAGCTATGGATATGGCCGAGTTAGAGTTAGAAAATAGATTGGAAAAATAAAGATATTACAAGTAAATGTACAGGCCAGGATAAAAGTTGAACTGCTCGAGGAGAAAATGCTCAATTGTGATATATATACCTATTCATGTCGATATAGCAACGGCCATCTATTTGACTATCTATTTCTATACTAATAAGTAAAGCAGAGGTTAAAACTTGATCACAATAGTATTGAGTTTCGATATTTAAATTCAGTGTCAATTTTGATGCCAAACCATGATCATAATGGCAATGCTTTTAGTTGGGATAAAGTAATGGCTGTGGAAAGTTTTCCGATACACAGTTTACTACAAAATTAGAATACTGTATTATGTTTAATAAAGACAAGGTGTGCACAACTTGCTTCGGTACGAACCCTCCACCAATTAAGAGCGAAGCAGGGGTTCAGGCTGTTGCTTAGTTCAATATTGACACAAGTTAATTAAACCCCAATGCGAATGGGAAAGTATCAATGGCAATCGACGTATGTACTCGCTTTGGCTGTGGCATTGGGTCAACAATGAACTAACTGAACAACCAAAGAGGCACTTTTGCCAGCTGAAAGGGACAGGAGCACTGACAGGAACAGCAACAGCAACAGGAACAGGAGTCGAACACTTGCTGGGGCAAAGTTACGCAACAATTTGAAAAGCGAGGAAGCACAACAGATCCATTTGAGTTTTGAGTATCCCGAAGGGTGGTGCATTTGTCACCTGCTGCGATGGTCAGCTCTTCGATATAGATTTAATACTGTTTTATTGCTTCCGTATAGGTGTAATTGGCAGGTATTCTCATCTCAATTAATCTAATCAGAGTGCTTTGGCATACAAAGTGGATATTTATTTACATGAACCTAGCGCATATATTCATAGATGATTCAATTTAGTTGTCCAGCAAGCCAAATATTGTCAAAATGTAAATAAAGATGTGAATTACATCGATATAAATGCTTAGCGCAGCAATAATATAATCGTCCTCGCTGTACTGATTTCTACGCTTGCCGACCATCAATTGTATATCATAGACAAGATACAATGAAAATAGAAGTAGTCCCAAGCCAACATAAATCCAAACCAATATTTTGGATTTTATGAAAAACATAAGCAAGCCCAGAAGTACCAAGACTATCATTAGCACGCACAGGTAGGGTCCACATCCAGTAAAATCGCATGGTGCAAAAATCGCGAATAGGGCAAGTCCCACACAAACGGCAATCGTGATGCCCAGCGCATAAAAGATCTGAAAAATGCTATAATGAAAAAGGACACAAAAGATGCTAATCGAGGAGCTTATCGCATGTAAAACTTACCTTATCTGTGCTATAAAAAATGCAGATACAGCTGACTATGATGGATTGAAATAACGTGAACGCTATTAGCAAAATGTAATTGATGGGAACTGTTCGGGCTACAGATCGATAACAAAATAGTACAAAAGATATTATGGCAGCCCCTACAGCTCCCACAATAAATATATATATGTGATCGTATAACCAAAATTTGGCATCTTCATTGAAAATAAATACGGACGTGATTACGGCAGTAACTGCCAGTTCCAACTGTCAAGAAAGTATCAATGGCAAACAATGTATTCAAATTAGTTGCATATATATATATATATGTACTTACGGCAAGGATACTGCATACTTTGCTGATAAAATGACGCCGCGTCGGCTCGTCATCCCAGTCGGTGTCAAAATCAATATCCTCATTTTCCGTGCGGCCCCAGGCTTGCATATCGTATAGTATTTTGTGTATTTATTGAGTATTTGTTCATGCAATATTTATTTGTTTTCATTTGTTAAGTTCTCTAGATAACTAACTAGATCGGGAAAGTAAAAAGTGCTTCAGTGGAGAGATTTGATTTCATGCTGAGCGGACTCGTTTTGATTGAAACTGCGATTTTTCAAGTCACTGCCAAATATCAAGTTATTTATTTTTGTATAGTCTCACAATTAATAATTTGCTTTAATGCTTAATTGGTTTTAGTTCGAGTATATTGTAACGTAATTTGATATTATTTGGTTTTGCCACTACCCATCATATAAAATACACATTATTGTATGTATGTATTTGTCCATACATATTATGTGTACAGCATTTTTATTGCATAGGTCGGAGTCGTCTTGCAGGCCAGTCAAAGCACTAAGCAACTTGAGAGATAAATCGAATTTAGCATAAAGTTGCCTGGAGTTTGATGAGATTTTAGTTGTTAATTGAATTGAAGTGAGAAAAATTCAAAGCGTTGTTATTATTTTCAAAAATTATGCATTTTGTATTACTCGCTTTCGAATTAGTAATCTTTTAGTTTTAGTTTTCGTTTTAGTTTTAGAATAAGTAGCATAAGTGACATAAGACATAAATAATTTGAATTATCGCTTGTTCTAGATTAAGTTAGTTTGCATAAATTGTATTTAGATTTACATTATTTTATTGTTTATTGTTTATGTTTAAGTCTAATACATTTTAAACGAGTTTTAGTTGCAAGTTTAGATATAAGTGTAGTAAATACAATTAAATAATTAACTATTAATGTACAGAACAGAGTGCTTTCAAGTAGTTTCATGTAAATTGTAAATGTTCTTCTTAAAAAACAAAAAACCATTATATTCTTGGAAGTCATCGGCGATTATTCAAATGCACGTCTCTATATAAGCACTTCATAATTCAAAGTCATATTTGTCTGAATTTGTTGCCTGTTTATCGCTCAAGTGGCGCATTATATAAACTTGAATATGCAGTTTTCATACAACAATTTCTTGTCAGATAATCTTATTGAGTTTGCGTCTTTTACATGGAATATGAATGACAAATTCATTAACAAAAAAAAAAAAAAAAAAAACAAAAAAAGAAAAACAAGCAAACGCAGATAGAAGACGCATAAATCTGGGCGTCCTTTACAGTTCTGTTTTTAGGCTTTGCTTTCGTCTTTTTTTTTATACGCCCTTAACTAAAATAACACTTAACATATATGAATTGCTTATTGACCCTAACACGTAAAGAATTGGACTCACGCTATACAAATATGATTCTTATATAAATAAGGGCCCAAACAAAAAATGCACACGCACAAATAAACAAATACTTAAGTGCTACAAACTTGACTAAAAACGAATTAAATCTTTACATTATCTATTAATGAATATTAATTACAAATTAGTAGTAGGTGCTGAATTTAGTTGTAGTTGTAGTTGTCTTGTTGTTTGCCATTTTCCAGTTAAATGGTTGAGTTTTCTGTTTGTTTTTTGTTGTTTGTTGTTGTTGTTTTAAATAAATATTAGTTAGTTTAAACCCATTTAGTTGAAATTAGTTAATTAACCTAATATAGTCGCTACACACTAGGAGGTATTCTCAAACTCATCGGGTTTGTGCTTGACTCGCAAGTTGCTCAATAAATCGGCACAGTTATTGACCATCATCAGATAGTCGCCATTGTTCAGATTGCCGGTTCCTGATTGCTGTTCACGATTGTTTCCACCTCCGATTTCACCTCCTCCACCACTATGATTGTTGTTCGGCAGAGTTTTCTCGTTTTGTCTGCAATTTAATAGATATATTTTAAATATTATCTAGTATTCAATTCGGTCGCAGGCTTAAGCATTACCGATTGTGAGTGATGTTTCCAAGCATATCACGAGACATAATCACAGCCTTTTCCAATTCCTGTAATAGCAACGAGTTCTTCAGATTCGCGTGCAGCTTCATCGCCGCCTGCGTGGTCGTATAAAGCTTATTGATCACATTGTGCACCTGGGCCTCAGCTGTATTAAGACAAAAAATAAAAATAGATTAATTTGGTGAACGGAAGAACAAATAAGAGTGATGTAGTCGAACGTTTGTCTGCTAGTCGAGCTCTCACTCGATTTGTTACCCTCGACTAGATCATTCTCATATTGGTTGCAGTTGGTTGGCTACTCACACTCTGCAACCTCGTAGTCCTCAACGCTGCCGACTCGCTGCTTAGTCGCATTATTGGGAGTATTGCTGTTCATTTTGTTCTTGTGATCGAAACCCAAATTGCGAGGCCTGGGTGGCACAATGGGTTTATTGCTGGCAGCAATACTGGGCGTCTCCTCCGAACTGGAGTCATCTGGCATTGCTAAAATTATTTAAAAAAAATATATATTATTATTATGGTTTTGAGATAAATGTCTAATCATTATAATTACCACTGCTGAATGGCGTCTTGCGTCGATTGCTGTTGGCGTTGTTTATCTTGCTGCTGTACTGTCGATTGGCAGCTAAAATAAGCCATTAATTAATACGGTTCAATGTATAAACAAAAGCAATTTGTGCTTAAGTTTGAAACCTACCCGTGGGTCCATTGCTGCGACTCTGTCCATTTGACGCACTGCGCATTCGATTGCTGTCCTCCGGCTCCGAGTCACTCTATATGGAAAAGGTTTTGATTTCATTTAAGTTTGGTTTGAAAACATTAAATGTTAAATGTTTTGCTTTACTACTTACAACCTGATTGAGCACATTCATTGAGTTGCTGGAGGCGCCCAGACCTGATTTGCCTTGCTGACTATTCCGTTTGCTGGCGGATCTGGTAATGTTACTGCTCCGATGCTGAGCTGTGGGCTTCTGTGGTGTTCCATTGGACTTGCTGGCTGTTTATGGAAGAGTTAGAGAAACAGAGAGCGGAATGAGGTGATTAGTTTTAGCAAATGGGAGCAGTGATTGGTTATATTGGTGGGCCTTACGCTTGCCAAAGTTGCCCATATGCAGATCACTCAGGGAGCAGGCGCGACGAATCGACGACTCCTCAATGGGTATGGGATTGAGCACTTTGGGATTACCTGTAAGTAGGTGTAGACGGTTATTAGTCGCGGGTCGAGCATGCTGGTCAGTGGTGCAACGTAAATGGTTTCTTTCGTGTGGGTAGCAAAAATGAGAACGTCAACCAAAAAAGCTCTAACAAAAATGGGTGCGCAAATATCAAGGATATTCCCGAGTACAAAATGATGATGAGTGGAGATGGTGGAGAGTCAACAAAAAAAAAAAACAATAATCTTTGTGCTTGTTCTGTAGTAATTTGTAGTACAACATCGAGGCTCAAACGTTCAAACCTTTTAGGCGCTCAACGCTCAACTCCTGATGATCATCATCTTTAGCGCCATTAGCATTCACATTTGCATTGCGCTCATGGTAAATGCGTCTTTGGTTGCTTGCAACATCATCATCATCATCATCAGCGTCATCGTCGTCGTCATCATCATCATCTGCATCGTCTTCGTCATCGGCAACCACTTCCTTGGCTAGTTCGACATCGTTGCTGCCATTATCGTGATAGTTAAAGTCAGCGCTCTCAAGCACATCCGGCAAGCTGCAGTTCCGACGAATGTGTCGAGCATATGCACAGAGATCCGCATCGCTGGAGGGCAACAGCTGCTCCGCGAGTTGCTGCTGATCCTGGGCCCGGGCCAGCATATCAAAGTTCATAGTCAGACTCTTCACGTAACCCTTCTGCTTCGAGTTGCAGGCAAAGGGACGCAAGCGTGTCTCTGTCGCCATGCGTATCTGCTCCATTTTGCGCTCCTCCATGCCAATTAGCTTCTCGATGATGTCAATCTTCTTGGCTATGTTTTGGCACTGGTGGCTGGTGGAGTTGCCGGCACCCGAGCAACGCTCCACATTGTCCATGTTCTTTTTGTGCTTGGCTCGCTCCAGCTGCACCTCGTCCACCACTGCCTGCAGCTGTGGCTTTGTGTACAGCTTCAGGCTGTGCATATGCTCCAGATTCTCGGGCGCATTCCCATTCTCGGCAAAGAACATTTCAAAACTCCGCTCGGCTCCATAGTTGCTTGGCAAACTGCCCACGATGGGTGCATCCATCATATCATGACTCTGCTGCTCATCCAGCGTAGCCTCTAGCTCCGACTCCATTTCGTTGTTGCTGTTGCTATTGCTGTTGCTGTTGCTGTTGCTGTCCCCATCATCGTTGAGATTGGCGCGCTCCCGCTTTGCACTGGGCGTATACTTGATTTGCGAGACGGTATTGAAGCGAACACTGATCTTGGGACGCGCCTTCTGCCTCACACTCGAGGCGCGCCAGTTGTTGCTGTCCCTGGTGTCGAAGCGCGACACTTTCTTCAGGCAGCTGTGCGTGGCGAGGGCGCCACTACTAACACTACTCCTCATGGCCGCCTGCGGACGGTGCTGGGCTCGCTGCTTCTCGCGCTCAAACTTGAGCAGATTGTGCTCGAATTGACGCACAACGCTGGCCGTTCTCGAGCTGCCCACGCAGGACGACTGCTTCTTCTCCACGTTGCAGGTCAGCGTCGACACCAGATTGTGGGGCTTAGCGGGTATTGGAGGTTTTGGCATTTGTTTGCGCACAAACATCAACTGGTCATTGGAACGGGATTGCGATTGAGATACAGATTGAGATTGAGATTGAGAGTGGGAATGGGCGTGTGAATGGGCGTGGGATTGGACTTGGGCTTGGTTATATGGTTGGGCGTGGGACTGTGAGAGGGGATTTGAATTGCGCTGCTGACGCTGCTGGGCAAAGTCCGTGCTGAGACTTTTATTTACTCCGGAATTGTACTGCTTGTTCTTGGATCGCATTGTGGGAATGTGCTCCACGCCAGCTGGTGCTGCTTGCGGTTGCGGAACTGAGGCCAGACGTGGATAAGTCTTGGAGTTGGGCAACGGCTTCAGGGGCTGCAGATTGTAGCCGGTCACATCGAAACTGTCGAAGGCAGCTGCCGCTCTGGCCGAAGTCTTCTGGCGCATATAGTAGTCAAAGCTGCCATAGGCATTGGGACTGCTGCCGTACGACTTGGACACCGGGCCGTGGATTATGAAGTTGCGTATGCCGGCGTGGCACTGCATTGCTTGGAGTGGCGGCTCCAGTGGGGCACTCTTGCAGTCGCTCTCGTCGGAGAGCACGCTCTCCAGGCTGTTGCAGTAGCTGCCGCCGTCGGATAGCAGTGACTCCTGGCTGAGCTCGTGCGGCAGCTGGCCGGAGCTGCTGAGGAAGAAGCTGGCGCTGGAATGGCGCTGTGTCTCCAGGAAGCGTGCCTCTTCGAGGCGCTGCTGCTGCTGCTGCAGCTGTTGCTGCTGAGTGGCAGCAAACTGATCGGGCTTCAGGATGTCCGAGAGGGAGACTTTCCGCTCGCACTGATAGATCTCGCGGTAAACATAATACTGGGTGCGTCCGCTTTGGGGTGGCGTCGCCGTTGGCGTTGTATCGCCTGTGGAGCCGTCCAGGGCACGCAAATTGGCCGGCATTGAGGCTGATGAGGGCAGTGCAGCATATCTGGATGGCTCATCCAGATCACCATATTTGCGCGTTATCTCGTCAATCATCTTCTCGGTGTCCATATGAATCATGTCGAGAATTGTCCGTGCATCGTCCGCATAGACCGAGTGTCGCTTTGGCTCTGTGGGTATGGAACGCTCCGACTCCACCGACCACTCCACCTCCTCGTGCACAGGCGAAACGGGACAGGATTTGTAATGCTTAAGAATGCTTGGGGTACGACGATTGTTGCCAGCTGGATTGCGCTTGGCGGCGCTCAACCGGGGCGCTGTTTGTGCCGCGTACTTCGGCTGTTGCCTGGATGTGTTCGAGGAGGTGACGTAGGAGGCGTTGCCGTGACCAAAGGGCACACCAGGTGGTGGGTGGATCTGATGCACGCCCACATGATGCGGATAGGGTGGATAATGCTGCTGCACTTGGCGCATTGTTTGAAAGTTTTGTTGCAGCTTCGATTTGGACGCGGCACAGTTGAAGAATTGCTGAACAGAGACTTGTGGCTGATGTTGTTGCTGTTGTTTTGATGGAGGTTGAGGAAGATGTTGTTGTTGTTGTTGATGTTGCATTACAGATGGGTTAGTGGACCTACTAATATACTGTGAAGTATCATGGGAATCAACTGGTTGGGTTATTCAACATAATCAACAGTAAGTGTTACAAATAAGTGTTTTACGATTTTGCGGTTGATTGATTGATTTTTTTACCAACATTATTTTTTACCAACATAGTGAGCGCAAGGGAGAGCAATCATTAATAAAGAGACAAAGAAGTTTAAAGAGAGAGAGAGAGAGAGAGAGAGTGGACGAGGCAAACAAAGTATGTGTCGCAAAATGGACGGATTAGCCTACAGTTATCAAGGAATCGATCCGTATTTGGGTTTTAGCTTTGGAATAACTTTGAGCCTTACCTGACTTCTGATAGCGTGCTGGCCCCGAGTTGCGAGACCCATCCAGATTGCCAGCCAGACTCAGATCCGAAATGCTGTGGCTGCCTCGCAGCGGTCTATGGCCGACCTGTCAAGATTATAGAGTAACAAGATGCAATCAGTGAATAGCGACCAATTAACAAGTGGCAGGCATTAGTCAATGAATGAGTCAACAAGTTGGACTGCAGCCATGTCAGCAGTTTACCCAGTTTGCGAAGGTTTTTCTTTTCATGTAGTTGGTTTTTGTTAGCAAGTGAATAACACGCTCGATTTTCTGAGTCAGCGTTTTCAAATCGTCGAATAAAATATATACAAATTTTGTAGTTATATAAAAACTTTTTTTTTTTTCAATAATTTATCACGCTAATCGAAGCTGCTAAGCTAGCTGGACATTAAATCTGTTTAAGTTATTAGTTTCATTCTATTTTTTAGTGGAACGCAACTTAACATTATATTTGCAACTTTGTAGTTACTGTTTAGTAGGGAATGAACTTAGTATTAGTAGTCGTCGTTAAATGGAGTCCAAACGTGTTTTGGGCTTGCGTATTTAACAAGCGTTATGAGAAGCAATTCAGTCGTTAAAGCATCAACAATAACTCTTAGGTAACTCGGTTGGTTTCTCACCTCGGCAATTACATTTAACTTTTTACTGTCATTTTTGCGCGTACCCTAAATGTGGAGGAAGGGGTTTGAATTTGATTCGGATTTTTGTTTTTGTTTTTGAGTTGAGTTTTTTTTTCACCCGGACGTGTTTGGTTGTGTGTGGAACGAGACAGACACCGAAGCAATACGCAAAAAAATAAACACATATTTAGAGGGGAAAACGAAAACGAAAATAAAATGTAGACATAGAAAACAGAAATTAAATAAAAAACAGAAAAAATAGAAATATATAAGATGACCAGCCATCTGTCTGTCTCTACTCACATTCTCCAGCTGCTGTTTGACCTTGTTGATGACCTGCAGCAGCTCCTCCTTCTTGGTGCTTGTGTATGACTTTGTGATGGTAGGCGGCGCTGGGACAACCTTTCCATTTTCAGTATTGTGCTTGGCACTGATGCTGCGACGACCTGAAAGCAACAAATCTGTGATTACGAACATGAATGGGAAATGAAGCCAATTAGGTAAGCCTACTGCTTGTGCCACGCTCCAGCAACGTGCCCGGTCCTTCCGGCAATGCCGCATGCAGAAAACTATTCGTGGTCTGTGGCAAATTTTCAGAGCTGCCGCCCAACGTTGAGGCCAGTGACCGTTCCGCATTCTCCGCACTGGGCGTGGAGCCCTCGTCCTCCGTGTCCGATGTGCCCGTCCCAGTTCCGGTGCTTGCCGTGTGCGAGCTGCCATTGCCGGCGGTGGCCAATTGAAGACCGGTTTTCTCAAACTTTTGGCGACGCACCGATTTTCGCAGCTCATCCTCATTCATGGCGGTCACCTTGAAGTCCCTGCAAAGCAAAAATGGTTTAATTAACTTAATTTGCAATTAAGACTAAAGGTAAACTGATCTTACGTTGGCGTGCTGGGCAACATATTGTTGTAGAACATGCCATGATCTGAGCTGGTGCGTTCGCCATCCGAAATGTCCTCCACATCGCCGTCGTGATCGTGACTGTGTGTGTCGAAGCGGAGTCCAACCTTGCGCTTATCGGGCTGGAGACGCTGCTGACCAACTCCAACGGTGGCTGGGGCACCATTGCTGGATGCCGTGGCAGCTGAGACGGTGGAGATGGTGCCATTGTTGTTGCTGCCAATGAACATGAGTTCGCGCCGCGTCTCCATGCCCGAGTCAATGGACGAGTCCTCGCTCAGATACGTCTGATTGAACATAATGTCCTTGGAAGAGGCGCTATTATAATCAGAGGTTTGTACATTGGTCGCGCTATGACCACCCACCGAGGAGACAGTGCCCAACGGACTCTCCGAATTCGAGCGCACATCCTCCGTTTCCAGCTGGCTGCGCTGTGACCAGCGTCCACGTGGCCGGGGCGCCTTCACGCCCAGCTGTTGACTGGACGCTGAACTCAGGTTGCCCATGGACGAGGCCGTGTGCAGCGTGGCAGACGACAAGCCGCTAACAAGTGGCGTGGGTATGGATAGGGCGCCGCTCTCCGAGTTTGCCGCCGCCGCCTTGCGCATGGCCCACTGGGGCAGCTGGCCAACGTCCGAGAGCCGATAGGTATTGCGATTCGATTGCGGCTCCTCGGGCACTATGAACTTGGGCGACAGCTGCTGGTGCTCCAGTTCGCTGGTGGGTGACTCCACCACAATGGCATCCGGTGGCGAGATGGGCGCCACTTGACGTTGCAGCGGTGCAATGCCGGAGCGCAGTCGCTGCTGGGACATGCGTGCCTGCATTGTGACGATCATGTCGTGCGGCACCTGCCAGATGAATATGCAGCCATCGCCACTGGCCGAGATGAGGTGGCGACAATCGTTGGTGAACTTCAGACCCGTCACCAGCTCACTGTGGCCGTACATGCGTGCCATGCACTCGCTGGAGTAGTAATCGTAGACGGCGAGCGTCTTATCCGTGCAGGAGGTGGCCACATAAATGCCGCTCGGATCCAGACTCAACTTGATCAGACTGCCCTCCTCCGAGTGGGAGCCCTTAAAGGTTTTCGTTTGCTTCGCATTCTGAGTGCCATAGACACGAACATTGCGATCTTGGCAAGCGGTCAAAATATGCTTGGCATTCGAGTCTACCTCCATGTCGTAGAGCGTTGTCTTTCCCGACGTGTTCGTGCCGCGCATAAAAATGTTACCCTGCAATAAATCAACGATGTAAGATTGCATTTCTTGATAAACACCAACAACACACACACAGCTTACCTGAAAACTGCGAAACATAATTGACTTGTCTGCCCCGCAGCTGATCATCTGAAAATTGAGGCCAGCGCCCACAAATTTGATGGACGTGATCGAGGAGCTGTGATCATCCAAGGTCTGCAGCAGCAGATAATTCTGCGACACATCGAACACATGGATGAGACGATCGCGACTGGCGCTGGCGAGCAGCTTTCGTTCAATCTTATCATTTGAGTACTCCAGACACAGCACCTCCGACTCATGCGCCTCGATGGTGGTCAGCAACTTGAGATTTGTCAGGCTGTAGACACGTATGTTGCCACAGCGATCACCGCTGGCCAAGTGCTGCAGCTCGGGACTGATTTTGATGCAGCGCACACCGTTGCGTCCATCGTAGCTGGAGTTGCCCGTTTTGTCGAAGAGCGAGGAGCCCTGATCCTTGATGTACTGCAACTCGTCGTCGCTGTAGATGATCTTGAGTAGGTCTTTGGAGTAGATATTCTTGCGATATATCTCATTGTTGGCACAACTGTCTAGGCCCCACACGCGTATCGTATCATCCGATGAGCATGTCACAAAACAGTCCTCGGGCAACGTCTGCGATGGCTCGCGCTCTACGTTATATGGCACAGTCTCCACGCCCCAAATGCACGTGGAGTGATACAGGAATGAGTGCGACTTGCCCACTCGCGACACATCGCGCAGATCCCAGATGTACAGCGAGTGATCGTTGTAGACGCAGCTCACCTGCAAATGCATCAAACAAAAGGTGGTTTTAAAAGTGTTGAAATGGTTTCTTAATATTAGTTTATTATTATTGTTGGCTTCGTGCACTGCGATCTGTTAGATCTACTGTGTCCCCCTCCCAACTTACAGCTCTTCAACAACAACTGGTTGATAACATGTTTCTCTGGTATACTAAGTCGTTTCCTTAATAAGCCCTGACATTATGCTATAATGTGTCCTGAGAGCTCTTCATGGACAGAGTCCGCTACTGACTAGTTTCCTTCGAGTGCCTTCTTATTGTAAATGTTCTTTCATGTTGTTTTATACAATAATTTTTGTTGAGTCCAATCTAAGAATGATACTTGATAATAAATTTCCGCTTATCGGTATACATGAGATACTTTATCAAGGAGCTAATGCAATGTTTGCTTTAATTTATAACTGGAAGTTAAACTAATGTTTTACTTTAAGCTACACAATTTTCGACCATGGATTAATTATTAAATAAATCGCACAAGCCATGTATCTCTATATATACTTTGGCGTAAAATGTTCTGAGTTTTCGTCTTCAGAGGCACTCAGTCTGAGATAAGCTTTCAAATAATTTTGGCCTTTTGCAGTCAGTTCAATTGGTTAATTTAAGCTAGATTATCGATTGATTAACAAAATCGAATTATATGAAAACTTCTTGAAGTATATGATTGTGTTTCACAATCAGTTTGTGCGAAAGATTTTGTACCTTGGAACGCTGCTCGTCAAAGACCATGGCAATACAATCGGGAAACTTGGCTTGCTGGGGCACAGACATAATGTGATTGATCTGAATACCCTGGGCGACATCGACGCCCAGGTAATGTGTTCGAGGCAGGGTTGTCACGTATTCCAGAGTGGCAGCATTAAAGATGCGTATGATGGACTCGGCGCAGCCAACTAGAATAAATTGCTCGTTGACGCAAATGCAGCTGGCGTTGCTGGTGCGGCACTGCACCCACTTGTCGAGCAGCCGCCTCGAGCTGAACTCCACCAGGTGACCCTGCCGTGTGATGGCGTACGTGCTCTCCGAACAGATGCCCTTGCCGCAGGCCACAGCACAGAAGTCATTGTCGCGAAGATCGCCCAGAATGGCGCTGCGGCCCATTAGCGGCACCGGATCTTTGTACTGCAACAAATTGAATTCATTAAATGAAGCAATTGTAATGATGCTGAAAGCTGAAAATGTTTGCTTACCTTACGTGCACCCTCCAAGTACCAGTATTTGACGTGACGCATGCCCACGGTGACAAAGTAGCTGCCATCCTCAGCGAAACAAACGGCGGACACTTTGGTGCTGATTTTGTTGGAAGCCATTTTCAGATGGGCACGCCAATCGTACACATTGACAATCATGTCGTGCTGCGAGCCCACAGAGACCAGGTACTTGCCATTGGGCGAAAATGCCTATGGTGGAGCACAAAATACAATTAGAGAGGAGAGCGTAAAGAATATTTCAAAATTTAAATGTGCTTACCACACATGTGGCGGCATATTTGTGATCCACAAACTCGGCGACAACGTTGCCGCCGCTGCAGTTATCCAGATTGCCATTGGGCGTCTCCAGTTCCCAGACTTTGATGGCAGGATTGATGCCACACTCGCCTGTGGCTACATAACGGCCGCATCGCGAGAAGGCCACGCATGTGAATCCCTTGCGGGAGGTATTGACCAGATAAGCCTGTGTATTCCGCTTGGCATTGAACAGCACCACTGTGCATCTGGTTGGGGGTAAGCGAATAAATGCACAAAATGTTGTAGTACTGCATGGCAATAATATAAAAATGACATTCAGCATGCTGCCAAGTTGGCATTTGAATGCGCCCTTGGCCAGGCTGAAAAGGATAACACAGCGTGCATGTCATCTCAAATGTTCTCAGCTGGGCACAAATCTCATTTGTCCCCAATTCGTGCTATTGACTGCCATTTCATAGTTGACTGACTTGAACCTATAACCTACAGCAAAAGAGGCTAAAGAAATGCATGCTTATCCAACCCAATCCACTATCGAATATCTCTCTGATTAACTAACTAGTTGCAGTAAATCGCGAGATGTACGAATTATTATTGAATTGGATTGTATACGAATCCTTTTAGTTAACTCTGATACACATTAATCAAGACAAATGCTTTTATTGTATTTCATTGCATATTTTAGCAGAAAGACAGTAATAATAATAATTAAAATTGCATAAACTTTTCTGATGAAACATGAATCTGATTTACGAAAAAGTTGATAAAAGAATTGCTGCTCTTAATTTATCAAACAAATATCAGCGTCAAATGCGTTGAACCCATGCATACAATTAGCATATACTTTCAATTAAGAAAACTATTCTCTTCAGCTGGTTTGAGAATGTATCTGAAAATACTTACCCCGCTGGATAGGCCAGCAGGCCGCTGACGGGCGACACATCCAACGCCGCATTGCTGCAAACAGTTAGGCCCAAGACTTTTTTGAGTTTTATCTGCAAAGAGACAACAAAAAGAAAAAATCAGAATCATTAAATTGGAATTACATCATTCGCAAGTGTTTGGTCAAGGTAAGTTAAGCCTAACATTTGCAGCACAAACAGCAGCCCAAATTGAATGTATTCAATGCGAGATTTGAGCGTGAAGTGCGAATTATTAACGCAAATAGCACTCACATTTGCCAAATGAGCTTGTATCGGTTTATGTGCGTATATATATATATGTGTGTGTGTAAATGTACAAACAACAATCGAGCAAAAAGTGTTAACTTGATTTTCCAATAAGTCGCAGGGTTGGGTTAAAAGTTGCGTAAACATAAATAAAAACAAACTTTTAACGAGTTTGTAACTTTTGTTACCTGATTAGTTTGGCTTGAAAATAAAAGTGAAAGATGATACCAGCTTAAGTAAGCTGAAGAGTATAAGGCTATATCATTTGTATTTGTGTTTCGTACTTGCAGATGTCTGTGATGCACTTAATTGGGAAGCGTAGGTTAAGGCATGTAAATATTTGAAGTAGAGGAAGCACGAGTCAAGTGTTTTATGACAGTTGGACTGACGGACTGGCTCTAAAATGAGATATGCCAGAGTGCTGAGTGCTCGCCCACATATCGCGATCAATTAAATACATTGTTAAATATTGGCTGGCATGCAAAAAAGAGTATCAAAATGATGCTCATTAAACACCCGCAGCTGGAATGAATGCTTTTGCGTCGCAGACACAGAACGAATGCCAAGCTGAGATCATCTGGTTGGCAGTGTATATAGATACATATATATGTATTCATATATCATATATATATATATAGATATATAGGATATGTTAGGAATGTGCGAGCTGTTGACATCGATGTTTGTTTTCTTTAGTACTACAAGCGAATTCACTTTAAAGAGCATTTTTTGTGTTTGCCTATTTCACTCTAAAAAACTACCACCAACGCAGCGTCCAAATATGTCTCAATGCAAAAGGTCGTTGTGAACCGGTTTATTCTATAGTTATCTTATGATATTTGCATTCGTAATGAGTATAATACACCGTGAAATTGTAAACACTCTGAGCGTGGCAAGAAAATAGGCATGCGAAAAATACCAAAACAAAATACAAATATTCAATGCGGCCAACAATAATCAGCCAGAGTTAGTTTGTCCACAAGATACCCTGTACCAGAAAAGTATAAACTATGCTCTTTGGATAGAATCAAAAATAACTTAAATCTATTGAATTTGATTTAGTATATTATTTACTGCTTACAGCAATGGTTTCAATTTAACCAATTTGTGGTAAGTCTACTGAATTAGGTTTATTATTTTAGTTTTTGTTTGCAGCAACTTTTTAAGTCTAATTTTAATTTATTGGATTATTTACTGTTTACAGAAACTCAATTCAATTCAATGTCTTTGAGGAACTCCGCTCAGTCGACAACCGGAAGACAGCGCACGTCATTTATCAAATCAATTTTATGGTATCCAAATAACTTTGTTACAAATTTGGACAAGCAGCGAAAATAGTTTATGCAAATACGGAAAGTTGTCTTACAGACGAGACGACGCAGGGGTGAATGCTTTTATAATGCAAAGTTACAAACAGCTATTGACGAAAAGTATTTTTTAATGTATTTTGTTGATATTTTGCGAGGATAACAGGGCGTATTACAATAAAAGGCATACAGAGGACGTTAGATATCGTAGGGTTTCTATTATTTCGGTGTGCACCTTTAGCTTTTAAAGGTTTTGTTTTATTTACCCTAATATTATTTGATTATTTGTACATTTGTACAAGAGAAGAAAATGCACTTTGAAACCCAAACACTAAGCTCTTATATAATATCAGATTCATAAAAACTGTTTGCATTTGTTTATTGCCTTGTCGGTCAGCACGTTTTGAGAATTTCTAATTTGCTCTCATCATCTTCAATTCGTATGTATTTGTCTAGCAATATGTATATATACATATATAAAGGCAAACAATAGTATCAGTGGAGCTACGTTGTAGACTACGCGAACTTACTGTGGAACGTGATCAAAATGTTTATGGTTAAGGTTCGTTTTTGGCAGCCTTTCGCCAAGACGAGTTGATTGAAATTACGAAAAATTGTATGCAGAGAGTTGAGTTGATATCAAATATTTTGAATTAAAGAACTTTTGATTGTACGCCGGCAAAGTGAGCAATGCCAGATTCTGTGACATTGTCTCAGCATAACTCTACGCCTTAGAAGCTGCCGCGCTTCAACAATGAGCAATCAGAGGCAAACGGCAATCGGTAGTCGGCTAATTGTCTATAATTACTTGCGGCAGCCAACAGTTCAGTCAGATGGCCAAACAAATTCTATATGAATAAGCTTAGCCTGGCCACAAGCACACAGCTGGTTTGTCTATAGCACAATGGAATAAAACTGAGAGAGAAAACCACAAAAACTCATTACGAACGGGGAGACAAAACTTTTGGCCAAATGAATCATGCCACAGAGCAGACAATGGTCCGAAAAGGGGAGACGCAAAACTTGGCTGCACAACAGAATTGGAGACAAGTGAATATATATATCGTATATATAGTATATTTGTATCAAAAAGATACAATTATCAAGACAAAAGTGACCTTTACCTCATAGGCAGCTATATCCTCCTTGCCGTATATGGCAACTGGCGATGAATTTCGTGGCGCGAACATTTTTTGTCTTTCTGCCCTGTCTGGCAGCACATAACAGCAACAATTTCTTGCAGCACTTTAATCTCTACTTAATTATTATTTTTTATGGCACCGCAGAGAGTGAAAAACACAGAGAGAGAGTAAGAGAGAGAGAGTAAAGAGGGAGAGAACAATAACGCCCACAATTTCTCAGTTACACATATGTATATATGATTTTTATTTTTTATGTCTAGATTATAAATTCGGATTTTTGACAAGGGGCGTTTTGAATACGTTTTCAATACGTTCAATAAATAGTACACATTAAATAATACTTTTTCGGTTATTTTACACTGTTTTTAACTGTGTTTCGTTTTGTTGTTGTTGGTGTTGATGACTAGTCTATACTATATTTTGTGACTTTTTCAAGGTCGTTGTTAGGCATGCTATTCAATTTATTTATTTTTTTGCTTTTGCTCGTTGCTGGTTTTATTTGTCCGGTTCGTTTCAATGCCGTGTTGAGAATTCGATGCTGTCAAAGTTCGTGTAATATTCAAGATTTAATATTTTCTTGAGGCGAGTTTTGTGTGTAATTTTGCATGGTGCCTAATCAATTCAACAAAAGCACATATTTAACTTTAATTATTTGATATTCGTTACACGTTTTCGGTTTGTTTGTTTGATTAACTCATTCATTTGTATTGCGTTTTTACAATAAATTGTAGAGAGCAATATTATAATCGATTGCTTTATTGGCGTTGTTCATATTGCTTTGGTGCTGATTTGTAATTTGTCGTTGTCAGCCGTCGTTGCGTATCTATTGGATACGTTTCGTTTTTAGCGCGGCTCAAATGAAACTGTTGAGATTTCTACATTGCCAAGCAAACAACGTCGTCATACAGAGATATACACAGAGAGAGAGAGAGAGAGAGAGAGACAGAGAGAGATAGATACCAATATTGGTAGGCCACCTTCTCAGTCTTCTCGACGATTGAGTGTTCGAGAGAAGGCATTTGAAAGCTCTTTGCGTATCTGGCAAATACTTGGCTCACTTTCCGTCTCAGCGTCGCAGCTCAAAGTCTCGCGCTTTAATTTGCATATTTTGAAAACAAGTTTGCGGCGGGCGTGGACTGGAGTCAAAAGCGAAAGACACACAACACAACACAACACAGCACAACACATGAGACTCGATCGCTTGACCGATGGAAGGCGTTGTTGTTATTGATTAGTTACTCTTGTTGTAGCCATCGACTCACGTTTAGCTTTGTAACACGCGATTACATTTACAAATGGCAATTGAGAAAGCACAACAAGTCGACAAGCGCATTTAACAATGCATTCAAAAGCGGACGAGCTTTGCCCCAGTAGTCATTAATCATTTGTAGATGCACCCACTCAACACTTAATTGTACGCCAAGTGTGCAACAAATGACCGAGAGGCAACCGAGAGGTATCCACAAAGTTATGCGAAAGAATCAGTCAATCCATATAAATATATATGGAGAACAATGTAAATTATTGTATCTATATTATTGTTGTAGTCTAGCAATACTCTCAAAGTAGTCAGGCTTAGGTATTTAAGGCCTGATTATAAGTAGTTGCACATTTGTATTTGTATTGATATATTTGTATTTGTATTTGTTGGTTTTTTGATTCTCTTTCTGAGTGTCTGCACTGCCCACAAAATGCAATAAATTATGAGCAAAGCAAAGCAATTCGTATTGAATTGTAGGCGTACACGTTTGCACCAAAGTTGTAAACAATCGCAAAATTAGGCAAATCAACAGCAGTAACAATAACAACAACAATAAAAACAACAACACCAAATCATCAGTCAACAGAGGAAGCCAACCAGATCATCGGCAGCCGGCTAAGCAAGTGGAACAGAACCAGTACCAAAACGAACAATGACACCCTAAAGCTAGATAGATAGTTAGATAGGCTGATACATATACATATAAGAGATAAAGCAGTATAAGTGCTTAATAGATATATTGCGTAAAGTTTATTTATTTATTTAATGTCGACTAATACAACGGCAGAGGAAAAATAGATAAATAAAAAAGAAAACAAATTAAATTCAAAATAAAAATGAATACTTATGCATCTTAGAATTCATTTATAAAATTATTTAAATTATTTATCTTTATTACAATACTTTATTACAAGGATTGGGGAACATCAGAAAAGACCCAAGCAATAAATTAAAAATAAAAATTAATATTTATGCATCTTAGAACTAAACTATAAAATTATGTAAATTACATGAATTGGGGAAATGCCAGTAAAGACCCAATCAGACCATATGTAAAAAGACAAGATTAGAAAGAATTTGTTAAGAAGTCAAACCTAAAATGCAAATGAAAATGTT